TTGCCCTGGGTGTGTTTTCCTTCTTTTGCTTAAGCTTCCATTGATTTGTTATTTGCTCCTTTGTATACATGTTTGTATGCCTCTCTAGCTTATGAACAATTGAGAGCAGATATGCAAAGGCCTGGAGTGAAGAGCATGTCCATCCTCTGGTCCTGTAGCTAAGGGTGGCTAAGGGTCATTGTCTGAGTGCTGAAAGACCACTGGGTGTTTTTATATTAATCGAAAACTTTGCCTTTTCCCACTCAAGTCAATCTTCTCCAGGGGCATTCTGTGGATTGTGTGTGTGTGTGTGTGTTTGTGTCTGAATGTGTGTGTGTGTGTTTGCTTGCTCCTGCTTTCCATTCTTTTGGTTGTTTCTTTTAATTCTTGTCCATTTTTGAAAAATACTTGTTTCTCCCATATGGGTAAGCAGAGGGAATTTCACACAATTGACATTTTTATGCTGTTGAGCATTTATTAGGATATATTTGATACTGACTTATTCAGGGTGGGGCCTGGGGAATCTCAGACCCTCCATTTTACAACTTAGCTCATATTCAACACATTTGCATTATCACACAGTCCCACAAATTGTTAGTGCTCTTCATTGTGATCTTTCTCATTTAAACACACAGACACACACATACACACACACTGCCTCCCTCTCCTCTCTCTCTCTCTCTCTCTCTCTCTCTCTCTCTCTCTCTCTTTCCCTTTACACTCTTAAACACTGTTTTCCACAATCAGTTTCTAGGTTGTACCATCTTATTTAATTAGTAAGTAATGTTGGGATTACAAACATTGCTTTGCAAAAGAATATTTGGAAAACAAGACATGTAAAGAGATTTCTTTGTTGGAGAGCAAGGTGGACTTGGCAGAATTCTGGTAGGTTGTACTTGCCAAGGGCTGGGAAGCAATGGCCTACGTCCCCAAGCGTGTTCTAAGGTGCTTTCTTCAGGCGCTGTCTTTGGTGTTCGTTTGTTTGTTTGTTTGTTGATGCGTTTTCTGAGACAGGGTTTCTCTGTGCAGGCCTGGTTGTCAGGAAGAGATAGACTATAGCAGCAGGTTGAGGCATGGCTGAGAAGAAGCCAAGAAGAGTCCTACTCTCAGGGCTAGGAAGCATCTTCTGTCACTGGGCTGTGTGTCTGTTCCCTGCAGTGCAGCTAGAAGTGTGTGTCCAGCAGGGCCAAGGCAAGGTCAAGTCTTCATCCAGTGAGGGGAACACGGCAAGGACACTGGCAGCATAGGAAGGAAACCCAGGGCTGTCTTGGATTGGGAGAACCAGGGGGCAGACACTGACCTTGTTCTTGCAGGGAGGCAGTGAGCCAGGCGAGGAGGGCGCTGTGGAAGGTTTGGAGATGAAGGCCTGAATTGGAGAATTGGTCTTCTGGTTCTCGAAGGCTGCTTTTCAGCTTTAGGGGCTTGATCTAGTGTCCCGAAAATCTTGAAGACTGTCTTCTCCCATCCACAGTGTGTCGCCGAGAAAGTGCTTGTGTGCCCACGGTCCCAACGATCGGCTCCTGGGTGTCTCGAGGCACACTGGAAATGAGTCCCATAAGGCGTTCAGGGAAGTAAGTGTCCAAGGTGCTGTATGTCGGGGAAAGGGTCCTTTGTTTCCTCGAAGAGGCGCTTCCGGGCCTTGCAGGGAGAGCGTGGAGGCTTGTGATGACTCTCAGGGTCCTGGGCTCGCAGACTTGTGGGAGGAGATGGAGGAGATGGAGGGAGAGTCTGCAGTGGGGAGCTGGGCAGAGGCCACAGAGTGCTGTCTTTGAGGCTCCAGATGGACCAGGGAGCATATCTGTCCGCAGCGGGATTTTCGGATGGATCCCAGGGCCAAGGCTCTTGGCTCTCAAACAAGGGGCTGTACATCTGCGAGTAGGGGCCCAGGGGCCCCGTGTCCATGTCGGCAGGAGCATGCGTCCACGGCATCCTGAAGTCTTCTTTCGGATCCTCAGGTGGATGAGAGGCGTTTCCCCAGCCTTGCATGTGTGATCCAGATGCACTGAGAAATTCCTCCTGCAGGACGACTTGGTGTTCCTGGGACACATCCAGGAGAGGCGCCTCCTGCGGGCTTCGGGGCACAACTGCAGGCTGTCCAGGCTCATCGAGTACCTGCAGGCCCTCTGGGATCAGGATGATGGTGTGTCCAGGGAGCGACACTTGCTTGACTGAGGTTGGGTCGGGCTCCAGCAGCAGGTCCATGTCTTCCAGGTGGAGTTTCAAGGCGAAGCCAGCTGGCACCAGCACCACGGAGGTGACCTCCTTCCCGGTTGTCGAGTTACCTGCTTCCAGGTCTGGCTCTGCCAGCCACCTCGGGCAGTCCGGCCCACGGACACAGTGGCGCTTGGCCGGCTGGGGTTCTTCTTGCAGCAGATAGTCTTGTGGGCTGCGGGGCCGTGCTCCCACCATGTTGGTTGGTGGCGATGCGGGCTTGACACCTGGTGGCTGGTACACCACAAAGTCCCACGTAGCTGATGGACTGACTTGTGCTCTGCAGTGCCAGGTTCAAGGCGAGCTGTCGGCTAAGGGCTGCTCTGTAAGAGACTCTTGCACTCTCTGGGACAGAGCAGAGGCGGCCAGGGAGACTGGCTGAGAAGGAGCGTTCGCGGGAGGACCTGAGTTCCTTTTATAAGCCTTGCTTGGCAGTAAGCCCCGCCCAGGCAGGGTGGGGCCTAAGAAGGGCGAGACCCTCGATCTTGGCCAAGGCACCTCTGCGTGCCGGTGGGCATGTGTGTCCCTGCCCGCCTGGCAGCCTCTGGGTGTTTGTGTGAGTTTGGTCGTTTAGGGGATGCCTGATGGTGTGTTGCTGTTAGTCGTGGGGTGCAGGAAAGAATCGACCCTGGGGTGTTCCTGTCCGTAGTGAAGCCTGTGTTTTTGCCAACACGCCCGGTTGACTATTTCCCCTAGACAGTTTCTTCGTATGAAACAGAAAACGGAAATGGGAATGAACAAAGTGAAACTTCCGTTGTTCACTGGAGGTCAAGCTTGGTACTGAACGCCAGCGGCTAAGGCTTTCATAGGGCTCGTCTGACTTAAACATTCATTTCAGATAGATATGCTATTGATGTCCTTAATTGGTCTGAGAAAATACCTCAGCGGCAGAGTGTTTGCCTAGCATGCCTGAGGCCAATTGATGGAGCCCCAAACAAAATCATAAAAGTATTAGTGTGAGTCCTTTTCAACAAGCATAAGCCCAGAGTTTGGCAGAAAATGACAGGAAGATTAGGAGTTCAGTTCCACATGCTACATGGTGGCTACTGGGGCAGTCGGTTTACAGAGTGAACTAAAGGCTAGCCTGCAAACGTGAAATCCTGTCCAGAAGGGTTAGTTGATCTTCACAAGTCGTCACAGGTGGATAAAAAACTCAAAACCCAATACCTGTTTTCTTGCACATGGCCTTTAAGTGCATTCATGCTTCCCATATCAGTGGCCTCTTTGATGGTTTTCCTTCATTTCTCTCATTTTGTTATAGTCTATGTGTATTTGACACTTGAAACAAGTTTTACTAGTCGTGACTCACTCCCTCTCTGTCTCCCTCTCCTAATCTCACCCTGACTCTGTCTCTCTGTCACTGTTCCTTTACTGTCTCCTCTTGGAGCAGATGCTCATACAGGTAGACATGCCCTTTAGGTCAGGGCCACAACCCATTCCCTACTTAGGCTTATGTACTTATGTATTTATTCGTTTATTTACTCATTTGTTTCTTTTTCGGTATTGGGGTGTTTGGGGGTGTCAGCTGCCACAGTCTCTCATCTGCTCTACTTGATGTGTAGTCCTGAGCTGATGGATATGAGGTTAATACACACTTTCATCTGCATTCCTATTGGAATTTTTCCTCTCCTCACTTCAGTGGTATTATCCATAGCTTGGTTGCACACACCTTTAATCCCAGCACTAGGGAGGTCCAGGCAGGCAGATCTCTGTGAGTTCCAGGCCAGCCTGGTCTACACAGAGAGGTCGAGGACTGCCTCTAAAACGATAGAGAACACCTGTCTCAAAAAAAACAAAACAAAACCAAACAAAAAAGGAACCCAGCAAACCTAACAAGCAACCAAACAACCAAACTACCAACGAAACAAGAAAAACACTCCAGTGGTTTATCTATGGCTTTCCTTCACGGATATAGTGACATCCGTTGGAAAAGTATGTTAAAAGACCCAGAGACATTCTGGGGATCATTCTAAGTGCCCCGCTGGTGGGTAATCTTCTTTGAATGAGTTTCTCCACAGTCTTCTTCACATTTGATTTTATATGTCTCCTAATCAGAGTCCAAAAGAGTGGGGGTCGATGTGACTTTCTTCTACCTCTTTAAAGAGACTTGGATTTCATGCCTCCACCTCTGGCCTCTCCTCTGGCTGGCTCCGTTAGTGTTCCTAACTAGTCGTCACTGCACTCTAAGGACTTCAGAAGAATTTTGAACAACCCTTCTCAACAAGAGTGCCCTAGGGAAGCAACCCTACTAGCCTATAAGGCAAGATGGAGTGAGGGCAACCTGGGACTTGGGTTTGACTGTCTCCACCTCCCAAAGCCTGGGATGTATTTGTTCAGACAGCTTCCTCTCCCTGCTCTTCTCAGGAACTTTCCAGGTCTGAAAATTTGGATTGAGGGTGGGGCATTCTACTTCCAATAATTCCATCAAGAGAAGTCTCACACAGGTGTGCTTGACCTCTGAGGTAGCAGTTAATTCCAGTAGGACTGAAGTTGGCAGCCAAGAACAGACACCCCACGCTCCCTTCTTGCCCTGGGTGTGTTTTCCTTCTTTTGCTTAAGCTTCCATTGATTTGTTATTTGCTCCTTTGTATACATGTTTGTATGCCTCTCTAGCTTATGAACAATTGAGAGCAGATATGCAAAGGCCTGGAGTGAAGAGCATGTCCATCCTCTGGTCCTGTAGCTAAGGGTGGCTAAGGGTCATTGTCTGAGTGCTGAAAGACCACTGGGTGTTTTTATATTAATCGAAAACTTTGCCTTTTCCCACTCAAGTCAATCTTCTCCAGGGGCATTCTGTGGATTGTGTGTGTGTGTGTGTGTGTGTGTGTGTGTGTGTGTGTGTCTGAGTGTGTGTGTGTGTTTGCTTGCTCCTGCTTTCCATTCTTTTGGTTGTTTCTTTTAATTCTTGTCCATTTTTGAAAAATACTTGTTTCTCCCACATGGGTAAGCAGAGGGAATTTCACACAATTGACATTTTTATGCTGTTGAGCATTTATTAGGATATATTTGATACTGACTTATTCAGGGTGGGGCCTGGGGAATCTCAGACCCTCCATTTTACAACTTAGCTCATATTCAACACATTTGCATTAATACACAGTCCCACAAATTGTTAGTGCTCTTCATTGTGATCTTTCTTATTTAAACACAGAGACACACATACACACACACTGCCTCCTCTCTCTCTCTCTCTCTCTCTCTCTCTCTCTCTCTTTCCCTTTACACTCTTAAACACTGTTTTCCACAATCAGTTTCTAGGTTGAACCATCTTATTTAATTAGTAAGTAATGTTGGGATTACAAACATTGCTTTGCAAAAGAATATTTGGAAAACAAGACATGTAAAGAGATTTCTTTGTTGGAGAGCAAGGTGGACTTGGCAGAATTCTGGTAGGTTGTACTTGCCAAGGGCTGGGAAGCAATGGCCTACGTCCCCAAGCGTGTTCTAAGGTGCTTTCTTCAGGCGCTGTCTTTGGTGTTCGTTTGTTTGTTTGTTTGTTGATGCGTTTTCTGAGACAGGGTTTCTCCGTGCAGGCCTGGTTGTCAGGAAGAGATAGACTATAGCAGCAGGTTGAGGCATGGCTGAGAAGAAGCCAAGAAGAGTCCTACTCTCAGGGCTAGGAAGCATCTTCTGTCATTGGGCTGTGTGTCTGTTCCCTGCAGTGCAGCTAGAAGTGTGTGTCCAGCAGGGCCAAGGCAAGGTCAAGTCTTCATCCAGTGAGGGGAACATGGCAAGGACCCTGGCAGCATAGGAAGGAAACCCAGGGCTGTCTTGGATTGGGAGAACCAGGGTGCAGACACTGACCTTGTTCTTGCAGGGAGGCAGTGAGCCAGGCGAGGAGGGCGCTGTGGAAGGTTTGGAGATGAAGGCCTGAATTGGAGAATTGGTCTTCTGGTTCTCGAAGGCTGCTTTTCAGCTTTAGGGGCTTGATCTAGTGTCCCGAAAATCTTGAAGACTGTCTTCTCCCATCCACAGTGTGTCGCCGAGAAAGTGCTTGTGTGCCCACGGTCCCAACGATCGGCTCCTGGGTGTCTCGAGGCACACTGGAAATGAGTCCCCTAAGGCGTTCAGGGAAGTAAGTGTCCAAGGTGCTGTATGTCGGGGAAAGGGTCCTTTGTTTCCTCGAAGAGGCGCTTCCGGGCCTTGCAGGGAGAGCGTGGAGGCTTGTGATGACTCTCAGGGTCCTGGGCTCGCAGACTTGTGGGAGGAGATGGAGGAGATGGAGGGAGAGTCTGCAGTGGGGAGCTGGGCAGAGGCCACAGAGTGCTGTCTTTGAGGCTCCAGATGGACCAGGGAGCATATCTGTCCGCAGCGGGATTTTCGGATGGATCCCAGGGCCAAGGCTCTTGGCTCTCAAACAAGGGGCTGTACATCTGCGAGTAGGGGCCCAGGGGCCCCGTATCCATGTCGGCAGGAGCATGCGTCCACGGCATCCTGAAGTCTTCTTCGGATCCTCAGGTGGATGAGAGGCGTTTCCCCAGCCTTGCATGTGTGATCCAGATGCACTGAGAAATTCCTCCTGCAGGACGACTTGGTGTTCCTGGGACACATCCAGGAGAGGCGCCTCCTGCGGGCTTCGGGGCACAACTGCAGGCTGTCCAGGCTCATCGAGTACCTGCAGGCCCTCTGGGATCAGGATGATGGTGTGTCCAGGGAGCGACAATTGCTTGACTGAGGTTGGGTCGGGCTCCAGCAGCAGGTCCATGTCTTCCAGGTGGAGTTTCAAGGCGAAGCCAGCTGGCACCAGCACCACGGAGGTGACCTCCTTCCCGGTTGTCGAGTTACCTGCTTCCAGGTCTGGCTCTGCCAGCCACCTCGGGCAGTCCGGCCCACGGACACAGTGGCGCTTGGCCGGCTGGGGTTCTTCTTGCAGCAGATAGTCTTGTGGGCTGCGGGGCCGTGCTCCCACCATGTTGGTTGGTGGCGATGCGGGCTTGACACCTGGTGGCTGGTACACCACAAAGTCCCACGTAGCTGATGGACTGACTTGTGCTCTGCAGTGCCAGGTTCAAGGCGAGCTGTCGGCTAAGGGCTGCTCTGTAAGAGACTCTTGCACTCTCTGGGACAGAGCAGAGGCGGCCAGGGAGACTGGCTGAGAAGGAGCGTTCGCGGGAGGACCTGAGTTCCTTTTATAAGCCTTGCTTGGCAGTAAGCCCCGCCCAGGCAGGGTGGGGCCTAAGAAGGGCGAGACCCTCGATCTTGGCCAAGGCACCTCTGCGTGCCGGTGGGCATGTGTGTCCCTGCCCGCCTGGCAGCCTCTGGGTGTTTGTGTGAGTTTGGTCGTTTAGGGGATGCCTGATGGTGTGTTGCTGTTAGTCGTGGGGTGCAGGAAAGAATCGACCCTGGGGTGTTCCTGTCCGTAGTGAAGCCTGTGTTTTTGCCAACACGCCCGGTTGACTATTTCCCCTAGACAGTTTCTTCGTATGAAACAGAAAACGGAAATGGGAATGAACAAAGTGAAACTTCCGTTGTTCACTGGAGGTCAAGCTTGGTACTGAACGCCAGCGGCTAAGGCTTTCATAGGGCCTCGTCTGACTTAAACATTCATTTCAGATAGATATGCTATTGATGTCCTTAATTGGTCTGAGAAAATACCTCAGCGGCAGAGTGTTTGCCTAGCATGCCTGAGGCCAATTGATGGAGCCCCAAACAAAATCATAAAAGTATTAGTGTGAGTCCTTTTCAACAAGCATAAGCCCAGAGTTTGGCAGAAAATGACAGGAAGATTAGGAGTTCAGTTCCACATGCTACATGGTGGCTACTGGGGCAGTCGGTTTACAGAGTGAACTAAAGGCTAGCCTGCAAACGTGAAATCCTGTCCAGAAGGGTTAGTTGATCTTCACAAGTCGTCACAGGTGGATAAAAAACTCAAAACCCAATACCTGTTTTCTTGCACATGGCCTTTAAGTGCATTCATGCTTCCCATATCAGTGGCCTCTTTGATGGTTTTCCTTCATTTCTCTCATTTTGTTATAGTCTATGTGTATTTGACACTTGAAACAAGTTTTACTAGTCGTGACTCACTCCCTCTCTGTCTCCCTCTCCTAATCTCACCCTGACTCTGTCTCTCTGTCACTGTTCCTTTACTGTCTCCTCTTGGAGCAGATGCTCATACAGGTAGACATGCCCTTTAGGTCAGGGCCACAACCCATTCCCTACTTAGGCTTATGTACTTATGTATTTATTCGTTTATTTACTCATTTGTTTCTTTTTCGGTATTGGGGTGTTTGGGGGTGTCAGCTGCCACAGTCTCTCATCTGCTCTACTTGATGTGTAGTCCTGAGCTGATGGATATGAGGTTAATACACACTTTCATCTGCATTCCTATTGGAATTTTTCCTCTCCTCACTTCAGTGGTATTATCCATAGCTTGGTTGCACACACCTTTAATCCCAGCACTAGGGAGGTCCAGGCAGGCAGATCTCTGTGAGTTCCAGGCCAGCCTGGTCTACACAGAGAGGTCGAGGACTGCCTCTAAAACGATAGAGAACACCTGTCTCAAAAAAAACAAAACAAAACCAAACAAAAAAAGGAACCCAGCAAACCTAACAAGCAACCAAACAACCAAACTACCAACGAAACAAGAAAAACACTCCAGTGGTTTATCTATGGCTTTCCTTCACGGATATAGTGACATCCGTTGGAAAAGTATGTTAAAAGACCCAGAGACATTCTGGGGATCATTCTAAGTGCCCCGCTGGTGGGTAATCTTCTTTGAATGAGTTTCTCCACAGTCTTCTTCACATTTGATTTTATATGTCTCCTAATCAGAGTCCAAAAGAGTGGGGGTCGATGTGACTTTCTTCTACCTCTTTAAAGAGACTTGGATTTCATGCCTCCACCTCTGGCCTCTCCTCTGGCTGGCTCCGTTAGTGTTCCTAACTAGTCGTCACTGCACTCTAAGGACTTCAGAAGAATTTTGAACAACCCTTCTCAACAAGAGTGCCCTAGGGAAGCAACCCTACTAGCCTATAAGGCAAGATGGAGTGAGGGCAACCTGGGACTTGGGTTTGACTGTCTCCACCTCCCAAAGCCTGGGATGTATTTGTTCAGACAGCTTCCTCTCCCTGCTCTTCTCAGGAACTTTCCAGGTCTGAAAATTTGGATTGAGGGTGGGGCATTCTACTTCCAATAATTCCATCAAGAGAAGTCTCACACAGGTGTGCTTGACCTCTGAGGTAGCAGTTAATTCCAGTAGGACTGAAGTTGGCAGCCAAGAACAGACACCCCACGCTCCCTTCTTGCCCTGGGTGTGTTTTCCTTCTTTTGCTTAAGCTTCCATTGATTTGTTATTTGCTCCTTTGTATACATGTTTGTATGCCTCTCTAGCTTATGAACAATTGAGAGCAGATATGCAAAGGCCTGGAGTGAAGAGCATGTCCATCCTCTGGTCCTGTAGCTAAGGGTGGCTAAGGGTCATTGTCTGAGTGCTGAAAGACCACTGGGTGTTTTTATATTAATCGAAAACTTTGCCTTTTCCCACTCAAGTCAATCTTCTCCAGGGGCATTCTGTGGATTGTGTGTGTGTGTGTGTGTGTGTTTGTGTCTGAGTGTGTGTGTGTGTTTGCTTGCTCCTGCTTTCCATTCTTTTGGTTGTTTCTTTTAATTCTTGTCCATTTTTGAAAAATACTTGTTTCTCCCACATGGGTAAGCAGAGGGAATTTCACACAATTGACATTTTTATGCTGTTGAGCATTTATTAGGATATATTTGATACTGACTTATTCAGGGTGGGGCCTGGGGAATCTCAGACCCTCCATTTTACAACTTAGCTCATATTCAACACATTTGCATTAATACACAGTCCCACAAATTGTTAGTGCTCTTCATTGTGATCTTTCTTATTTAAACACAGAGACACACATACACACACACTGCCTCCCTCTCCCTCTCTCTCTCTCTCTCTCTCTCTCTCTCTCTTTCCCTTTACACTCTTAAACACTGTTTTCCACAATCAGTTTCTAGGTTGAACCATCTTATTTAATTAGTAAGTAATGTTGGGATTACAAACATTGCTTTGCAAAAGAATATTTGGAAAACAAGACATGTAAAGAGATTTCTTTGTTGGAGAGCAAGGTGGACTTGGCAGAATTCTGGTAGGTTGTACTTGCCAAGGGCTGGGAAGCAATGGCCTACGTCCCCAAGCGTGTTCTAAGGTGCTTTCTTCAGGCGCTGTCTTTGGTGTTCGTTTGTTTGTTTGTTTGTTGATGCGTTTTCTGAGACAGGGTTTCTCCGTGCAGGCCTGGTTGTCAGGAAGAGATAGACTATAGCAGCAGGTTGAGGCATGGCTGAGAAGAAGCCAAGAAGAGTCCTACTCTCAGGGCTAGGAAGCATCTTCTGTCATTGGGCTGTGTGTCTGTTCCCTGCAGTGCAGCTAGAAGTGTGTGTCCAGCAGGGCCAAGGCAAGGTCAAGTCTTCATCCAGTGAGGGGAACATGGCAAGGACCCTGGCAGCATAGGAAGGAAACCCAGGGCTGTCTTGGATTGGGAGAACCAGGGTGCAGACACTGACCTTGTTCTTGCAGGGAGGCAGTGAGCCAGGCGAGGAGGGCGCTGTGGAAGGTTTGGAGATGAAGGCCTGAATTGGAGAATTGGTCTTCTGGTTCTCGAAGGCTGCTTTTCAGCTTTAGGGGCTTGATCTAGTGTCCCGAAAATCTTGAAGACTGTCTTCTCCCATCCACAGTGTGTCGCCGAGAAAGTGCTTGTGTGCCCACGGTCCCAACGATCGGCTCCTGGGTGTCTCGAGGCACACTGGAAATGAGTCCCCTAAGGCGTTCAGGGAAGTAAGTGTCCAAGGTGCTGTATGTCGGGGAAAGGGTCCTTTGTTTCCTCGAAGAGGCGCTTCCGGGCCTTGCAGGGAGAGCGTGGAGGCTTGTGATGACTCTCAGGGTCCTGGGCTCGCAGACTTGTGGGAGGAGATGGAGGAGATGGAGGGAGAGTCTGCAGTGGGGAGCTGGGCAGAGGCCACAGAGTGCTGTCTTTGAGGCTCCAGATGGACCAGGGAGCATATCTGTCCGCAGCGGGATTTTCGGATGGATCCCAGGGCCAAGGCTCTTGGCTCTCAAACAAGGGGCTGTACATCTGCGAGTAGGGGCCCAGGGGCCCCGTGTCCATGTCGGCAGGAGCATGCGTCCACGGCATCCTGAAGTCTTCTTTCGGATCCTCAGGTGGATGAGAGGCGTTTCCCCAGCCTTGCATGTGTGATCCAGATGCACTGAGAAATTCCTCCTGCAGGACGACTTGGTGTTCCTGGGACACATCCAGGAGAGGCGCCTCCTGCGGGCTTCGGGGCACAACTGCAGGCTGTGCAGGCTCATCGAGTACCTGCAGGCCCTCTGGGATCAGGATGATGGTGTGTCCAGGGAGCGACAATTGCTTGACTGAGGTTGGGTCGGGCTCCAGCAGCAGGTCCATGTCTTCCAGGTGGAGTTTCAAGGCGAAGCCAGCTGGCACCAGCACCACGGAGGTGACCTCCTTCCCGGTTGTCGAGTTACCTGCTTCCAGGTCTGGCTCTGCCAGCCACCTCGGGCAGTCCGGCCCACGGACACAGTGGCGCTTGGCCGGCTGGGGTTCTTCTTGCAGCAGATAGTCTTGTGGGCTGCGGGGCCGTGCTCCCACCATGTTGGTTGGTGGCGATGCGGGCTTGACACCTGGTGGCTGGTACACCACAAAGTCCCACGTAGCTGATGGACTGACTTGTGCTCTGCAGTGCCAGGTTCAAGGCGAGCTGTCGGCTAAGGGCTGCTCTGTAAGAGACTCTTGCACTCTCTGGGACAGAGCAGAGGCGGCCAGGGAGACTGGCTGAGAAGGAGCGTTCGCGGGAGGACCTGAGTTCCTTTTATAAGCCTTGCTTGGCAGTAAGCCCCGCCCAGGCAGGGTGGGGCCTAAGAAGGGCGAGACCCTCGATCTTGGCCAAGGCACCTCTGCGTGCCGGTGGGCATGTGTGTCCCTGCCCGCCTGGCAGCCTCTGGGTGTTTGTGTGAGTTTGGTCGTTTAGGGGATGCCTGATGGTGTGTTGCTGTTAGGCGTGGGGTGCAGGAAAGAATCGACCCTGGGGTGTTCCTGTCCGTAGTGAAGCCTGTGTTTTTGCCAACACGCCCGGTTGACTATTTCCCCTAGACAGTTTCTTCGTATGAAACAGAAAACGGAAATGGGAATGAACAAAGTGAAACTTCCGTTGTTCACTGGAGGTCAAGCTTGGTACTGAACGCCAGCGGCTAAGGCTTTCATAGGGCTCGTCTGACTTAAACATTCATTTCAGATAGATATGCTATTGATGTCCTTAATTGATCTGAGAAAACACCTCAGCGGCAGAGTGTTTGCCTAGCATGCCTGAGGCCAATTGATGGAGCCCCAAACAAAATCATAAAAGTATTAGTGTGAGTCCTTTTCAACAAGCATAAGCCCAGAGTTTGGCAGAAAATGACAGGAAGATTAGGAGTTCAGTTCCACATGCTCCATGGTGGCTACTGGGGCAGTCGGTTTACAGAGTGAACTAAAGGCTAGCCTGCAAACGTGAAATCCTGTCCAGAAGGGTTAGTTGATCTTCACAAGTCGTCACAGGTGGATAAAAAACTCAAAACCCAATACCTGTTTTCTTGCACATGGCCTTTAAGTGCATTCATGCTTCCCATATCAGTGGCCTCTTTGATGGTTTTCCTTCATTTCTCTCATTTTGTTATAGTCTATGTGTATTTGACACTTGAAACAAGTTTTACTAGTCGTGACTCACTCCCTCTCTGTCTCCCTCTCCTAATCTCACCCTGACTCTGTCTCTCTGTCACTGTTCCTTTACTGTCTCCTCTTGGAGCAGATGCTCATACAGGTAGACATGCCCTTTAGGTCAGGGCCACAACCCATTCCCTACTTAGGCTTATGTACTTATGTATTTATTCGTTTATTTACTCATTTGTTTCTTTTTCGGTATTGGCGTGTTTGGGGGTGTCAGCTGCCACAGTCTCTCATCTGCTCTACTTGATGTGTAGTCCTGAGCTGATGGATATGAGGTTAATACACACTTTCATCTGCATTCCTATTGGAATTTTTCCTCTCCTCACTTCAGTGGTATTATCCATAGCTTGGTTGCACACACCTTTAATCCCAGCACTAGGGAGGTCCAGGCAGGCAGATCTCTGTGAGTTCCAGGCCAGCCTGGTCTACACAGAGAGGTCGAGGACTGCCTCTAAAACGATAGAGAACACCTGTCTCAAAAAAAACAAAACAAAACAAAACAAAAAAAAGGAACCCACAAACCTAACAAGCAACCAAACAACCAAACTACCAACGAAACAAGAAAAACACTCCAGTGGTTTATCTATGGCTTTCCTTCACGGATATAGTGACATCCGTTGGAAAAGTATGTTAAAAGACCCAGAGACATTCTGGGGATCATTCTAAGTGCCCCGCTGGTGGGTAATCTTCTTTGAATGAGTTTCTCCACAGTCTTCTTCACATTTGATTTTATATGTCTCCTAATCAGAGTCCAAAAGAGTGGGGGTTGATGTGACTTTCTTCTACCTCTTTAAAGAGACTTGGATTTCATGCCTCCACCTCTGGCCTCTCCTCTGGCTGGCTCCGTTAGTGTTCCTAACTAGTCGTCACTGCACTCTAAGGACTTCAGAAGAATTTTGAACAACCCTTCTCAACAAGAGTGCCCTAGGGAAGCAACCCTACTAGCCTATAAGGCAAGATGGAGTGAGGGCAACCTGGGACTTGGGTTTGACTGTCTCCACCTCCCAAAGCCTGGGATGTATTTGTTCAGACAGCTTCCTCTCCCTGCTCTTCTCAGGAACTTTCCAGGTCTGAAAATTTGGATTGAGGGTGGGGCATTCTACTTCCAATAATTCCATCAAGAGAAGTCTCACACAGGTGTGCTTGACCTCTGAGGTAGCAGTTAATTCCAGTAGGACTGAAGTTGGCAGCCAAGAACAGACACCCCACGCTCCCTTCTTGCCCTGGGTGTGTTTTCCTTCTTTGCTTAAGCTTCCATTGATTTGTTATTTGCTCCTTTGTATACATGTTTGTATGCCTCTCTAGCTTATGAACAATTGAGAGCAGATATGCAAAGGCCTGGAGTGAAGAGCATGTCCATCCTCTGGTCCTGTAGCTAAGGGTGGCTAAGGGTCATTGTCTGAGTGCTGAAAGACCACTGGGTGTTTTTATATTAATCGAAAACTTTGCCTTTTCCCACTCAAGTCAATCTTCTCCAGGGGCATTCTGTGGATTGTGTGTGTGTGTGTGTGTGTTTGTGTCTGAGTGTGTGTGTGTGTTTGCTTGCTCCTGCTTTCCATTCTTTTGGTTGTTTCTTTTAATTCTTGTCCATTTTTGAAAAATACTTGTTTCTCCCACATGGGTAAGCAGAGGGAATTTCACACAATTGACATTTTTATGCTGTTGAGCATTTATTAGGATATATTTGATACTGACTTATTCAGGGTGGGGCCTGGGGAATCTCAGACCCTCCATTTTACAACTTAGCTCATATTCAACACATTTGCATTAATACACAGTCCCACAAATTGTTAGTGCTCTTCATTGTGATCTTTCTTATTTAAACACAGAGACACACATACACACACACTGCCTCCCTCTCCCTCTCTCTCTCTCTCTCTCTCTCTCTCTCTTTCCCTTTACACTCTTAAACACTGTTTTCCACAATCAGTTTCTAGGTTGAACCATCTTATTTAATTAGTAAGTAATGTTGGGATTACAAACATTGCTTTGCAAAAGAATATTTGGAAAACAAGACATGTAAAGAGATTTCTTTGTTGGAGAGCAAGGTGGACTTGGCAGAATTCTGGTAGGTTGTACTTGCCAAGGGCTGGGAAGCAATGGCCTACGTCCCCAAGCGTGTTCTAAGGTGCTTTCTTCAGGCGCTGTCTTTGGTGTTCGTTTGTTTGTTTGTTTGTTGATGCGTTTTCTGAGACAGGGTTTCTCCGTGCAGGCCTGGTTGTCAGGAAGAGATAGACTATAGCAGCAGGTTGAGGCATGGCTGAGAAGAAGCCAAGAAGAGTCCTACTCTCAGGGCTAGGAAGCATCTTCTGTCATTGGGCTGTGTGTCTGTTCCCTGCAGTGCAGCTAGAAGTGTGTGTCCAGCAGGGCCAAGGCAAGGTCAAGTCTTCATCCAGTGAGGGGAACATGGCAAGGACCCTGGCAGCATAGGAAGGAAACCCAGGGCTGTCTTGGATTGGGAGAACCAGGGTGCAGACACTGACCTTGTTCTTGCAGGGAGGCAGTGAGCCAGGCGAGGAGGGCGCTGTGGAAGGTTTGGAGATGAAGGCCTGAATTGGAGAATTGGTCTTCTGGTTCTCGAAGGCTGCTTTTCAGCTTTAGGGGCTTGATCTAGTGTCCCGAAAATCTTGAAGACTGTCTTCTCCCATCCACAGTGTGTCGCCGAGAAAGTGCTTGTGTGCCCACGGTCCCAACGATCGGCTCCTGGGTGTCTCGAGGCACACTGGAAATGAGTCCCCTAAGGCGTTCAGGGAAGTAAGTGTCCAAGGTGCTGTATGTCGGGGAAAGGGTCCTTTGTTTCCTCGAAGAGGCGCTTCCGGGCCTTGCAGGGAGAGCGTGGAGGCTTGTGATGACTCTCAGGGTCCTGGGCTCGCAGACTTGTGGGAGGAGATGGAGGAGATGGAGGGAGAGTCTGCAGTGGGGAGCTGGGCAGAGGCCACAGAGTGCTGTCTTTGAGGCTCCAGATGGACCAGGGAGCATATCTGTCCGCAGCGGGATTTTCGGATGGATCCCAGGGCCAAGGCTCTTGGCTCTCAAACAAGGGGCTGTACATCTGCGAGTAGGGGCCCAGGGGCCCCGTATCCATGTCGGCAGGAGCATGCGTCCACGGCATCCTGAAGTCTTCTTTCGGATCCTCAGGTGGATGAGAGGCGTTTCCCCAGCCTTGCATGTGTGATCCAGATGCACTGAGAAATTCCTCCTGCAGGACGACTTGGTGTTCCTGGGACACATCCAGGAGAGGCGCCTCCTGCGGGCTTCGGGGCACAACTGCAGGCTGTCCAGGCTCATCGAGTACCTGCAGGCCCTCTGGGATCAGGATGATGGTGTGTCCAGGGAGCGACAATTGCTTGACTGAGGTTGGGTCGGGCTCCAGCAGCAGGTCCATGTCTTCCAGGTGGAGTTTCAAGGCGAAGCCAGCTGGCACCAGCACCACGGAGGTGACCTCCTTCCCGGTTGTCGAGTTACCTGCTTCCAGGTCTGGCTCTGCCAGCCACCTCGGGCAGTCCGGCCCACGGACACAGTGGCGCTTGGCCGGCTGGGGTTCTTCTTGCAGCAGATAGTCTTGTGGGCTGCGGGGCCGTGCTCCCACCATGTTGGTTGGTGGCGATGCGGGCTTGACACCTGGTGGCTGGTACACCACAAAGTCCCACGTAGCTGATGGACTGACTTGTGCTCTGCAGTGCCAGGTTCAAGGCAAGCTGTCGGCTAAGGGCTGCTCTGTAAGAGACTCTTGCACTCTCGGGGACAGAGCAGAGGCGGCCAGGGAGACTGGCTGAGAAGGAGCGTTCGCGGGAGGACCTGAGTTCCTTTTATAAGCCTTGCTTGGCAGTAAGCCCCGCCCAGGCAGGGTGGGGCCTAAGAAGGGCGAGACCCTCGATCTTGGCCAAGGCACCTCTGCGTGCCGGTGGGCATGTGTGTCCCTGCCCGCCTGGCAGCCTCTGGGTGTTTGTGTGAGTTTGGTCGTTTAGGGGATGCCTGATGGTGTGTTGCTGTTAGTCGTGGGGTGCAGGAAAGAATCGACCCTGGGGTGTTCCTGTCCGTAGTGAAGCCTGTGTTTTTGCCAACACGCCCGGTTGACTATTTCCCCTAGACAGTTTCTTCGTATGAAACAGAAAACGGAAATGGGAATGAACAAAGTGAAACTTCCGTTGTTCACTGGAGGTCAAGCTTGGTACTGAACGCCAGCGGCTAAGGCTTTCATAGGGCTCGTCTGACTTAAACATTCATTTCAGATAGATATGCTATTGATGTCCTTAATTGGTCTGAGAAAATACCTCAGCGGCAGAGTGTTTGCCTAGCATGCCTGAGGCCAATTGATGGAGCCCCAAACAAAATCATAAAAGTATTAGTGTGAGTCCTTTTCAACAAGCATAAGCC